CGCTCAGAGTAGCAAAAATATTCAGCTTCTATGACTAAAATTCGACCGCAACAAAATAGAGAAATGTAAGTAATCTGATCTTCAAATGTTTGAACTGTTGGAGAAAAAAAGGATTTACACACATTCATCTAACTCTCCAATTTTTAATTTTCTTACGGACCTATTCATGTGCCTTTGCAAGCACATGCACACCCACACACACAAACACTTACACACACACACACACCCACACACAAACACTTACACACATAAAAATCACAACACACACAAAGGCACTCAAAAGCCACCTCTTAAGCCCAAGCATTTGCGAATGACACTCCATCATTTATATGCACTCCAAGCAAGCACATTGATGAGAGTCAAGTTATGGGCACACCCAGACTGCGTAATGAAATGAAATAAACATAATAGAGGAATGAAACGTGCGTAAGCTCTGAAAGATTAATGCAAGACCAAAAGAAACACAACTCTTAACCTTATTCTTATTCGTATTCCAGCTCAATTATTTTAACATGTTTTACGTTCGAATTCCGCATGTAAGCAGCGCAACTCATGTAAATTGTTTTTTAATGTTGTGTTAGCTTACAAATTTGTGTGAACATTTTTTTCCACAAAAAAGTCCATATTTAAACATGCACATATACATGTTGGCGAATTAAATTAAAGATTAATTCTATTTCAATAATATTAATTTCGGGACGTTGTTTACTTCAAATGTAGATATTTATAAATATACAGTAAGTTACGCGCTTGTTGTGCGTGTGATTGTGTGTATGCATTTAAACAGGTATATATGGTATATTATGATTTTGAAAATCGCGATGTGATAGCAAGCAGAATCGTGTGCAAGCAACAAAATCAAACAATGAGGCCTGCCTACCTACCTACCTACCAACCATCCAACGCGTGCAGATCGATTCGTCGCCATGGCAACATTCAAATGGCGATCACCACTAATGTCGATAATAATAATTATAATAATAATAATAATTATTATTATTATTATTGTTATTATTATAATTATAATAATTAGATCGTTCATTTTTATTGAAATTTCATTAAAAAATTCATTGAAGTTAGATCGAATGTTCCCAATTCAACGGCAAAATTGTGCGGCTTGTGATATTGACACGTGGGTAAAAAATTAAATTATCACAAAGCCTGAGAATTTATATGATGATAATAAGCAAGTCATAGAAGGGAGAAATCAGGATGATTGTTTGGAAAATTCATATGGAAATTTTGGCATGAAAACCTTCAGTGGTATGCAGTCAGATGTTACCTGGCTTGGGCCACTTCAACAGATCATAATAATGATCTATAAAATACGATCTATAAAATATTTCAAGAACCAATTAAAAGTTTAATGGAATGCCTACTAAATGTCTTATGAAAGTTGCCACAGTGAACGCAATCACGTGAAGTAAACTTTCTTAAAAGAAAGGAGTGTGTTCAAGTACTGCCTAAGCAGCTATCCACTCATTTTTCCTCGCTATCCAATTATTCACCCATCACATTGTTGGCATCAACTTATTTTTGACTTCTTTGTAATTAATTTTTTTTTAATTTTTTTTTCGTTAGCGTCTACTGATGTATTCTACTACCTGCAAATATTTGAAACTCGTTAGAGAATTACCTGGCTTCTAACTAACAATGTAACTGCAACATACAAGTGCTACAGTCGGGAGAAATTCAACAAAGAATATTTCTAATTATAAATAATTAACTATGCTTGGAAAAATAAAAAATTTAACGATGACGATGATGATGGCGTTGACATTTAAGATGATGGTGTGAATGATGACGACGACGATGATGATGTCTATGGTGACGCTAACGATTACGAGGATGATCGTAATGATTATGGCAACGCTCATCGCTTGTGATATTTATGACACCAACCAAAGTGGCTGATTTGTTTAACCAGTTGAGGATATAAGATGATCATGGTGATAGTGATATGGATAAGTGGAATGATAAAAATGATCTCAATTGCTAACATTTGTTACCTCTGTCGGATTCTTATAATATTTTCCCCCATAGATTTTGTATAGGAATTCTTGCCAAAACATACGTTTCAAAATTTGATACAATTTTTTTTCTGACACGAAGATATGTCCGTGCGTTGTCATTTTCATAAACTTCTACCTATTTTTGACAATATATTTTTATAATAATGTATTATATTTATTTATTTTTATATTATATATTATATATATTTTTATTACTTTTTTATGACTTAACATTACTCTAAGGTTACTAAAATGTTTCTACCAAAACTAGAAATCATTCACCACCACAGCAAGCAGGTAAGGGACCAGGTAAAAGTCAGCAACAAACGTTAAAACCAAAAATAACTGAACGCCAGCGTTCAGAGTTGCAGGTCGTCAATAAATTTACGCGACGCCAGCGAAGCTTATAATTAGCAACATTGTCTTCTAATCGTTCACTGGGTAGGATCTATTGACTGTTTATAGGTGCATTAACACAGCCTAGTGGTTGCAGGTTCTTGTAAAGCACATTATGAAGACTTTTTTTATTCAGATAGGCTAACGAATTTCACAATCTATTTTTTTAGCGTTTGTTGAAACAATTTTTTTACGTATATGACTAGAAATGAATCTAAATATAAATGTATGTGTATATTATTTTTTTTTTAAAACAACTGAGCAACAACAGAAAAAAACAACCACAACACGGACAACAGCAAAAAAAACCAACAACCTCTAGCAAAACATTAGACGCGAGCATGACAAGAACAACTACGCTCCTCACCAATAATGCAATGCAAATATATGCTTACAAGCATACAACCAAAAAGGTACGCACACAGACACACATATTTACACCAACGCACACACACACACACATACACACACATATTTACACACACGTACTCAAATACACTCTCACAAACCAACATGATCACAGCCACTCAAACACGCGCAAAAACCTGCAAGCACAACACACAAAAGTAAACACACACGCACATATATACGCACACATACACGCACACAGACGCGCACGCAAAAGCACACTCACTTAAGAGTATAAATTTACGTTTTAAAAATGTGCAATTCTTCAAAAGATGTATGTGAGCCTTTGAAAAAATTTGAATAAATTCCTGAAGTTTTTCTGTGAGTTTTTTAATAATAATAAACAAAATGTAGTTACTATCTCTTTCTCCAATCGTGCAAACATAATTCAAGCGAAGAAATTTTTTTTTACATGCAAAATTTTTTTTTTTGTAAAAATTTCTTAGATAAAGTTTTTGTCCTTCACCAATTATAACCGTTGAAGACTTTGTTTTTTCAAGTTACATGTTGGATTAGAGAAAAAGAAAGATTATTAAACTTAACTTCAAAAATCTGAAAAGTAAATAAATATACACGGATGAAATAACAATTAAGGAAAATTTGTTCTTGGAATTTTCCTTAGAACGTTTTGTAAATACATCAACTAATTTGTATACATAGTTTTGATCTGTTGCTTTAAATTGCAAATACTTACGTATGTTTCGGCATGTTGTTTCCGGTATGTTCTCATTGGAGAAGTTTTTTCGACATGTTTTTTGATTGGCGATGTTTTATGCCTGCATTGTATGATTCTAATTGTTACAGTAATTATATATAACATTACTGCTAAATAAACGCTGCTGTTTAAAAAAGAGAATATTCGATGTTAATTTTAGTCGGAGTAATGTTGTCAATATTTTTAATTTTCGCTCTATGATTTTTATTTCATTGAAGCTTAGGCTAATTACTAATATATTGTCTATTAAAAATGTCCTTTCATTTGTTTTGTTAGAGTAAATTTTTTTTAATATAATTCTATAAATATAATTATTTTTCATTTACGCAGGATTATATTCAAAAGTTCCATTTTGAGGAGTTTCTGGTGCAAGTTCAAGTTTACAAGTTCAAGATGTCTATATTTGGTTTAAAATTATCTTACCGTGTCAAAATATTTTCTTCAAACGTCTGAACATTCAGAGAGCAAGTCAAACTTGAATTAACATGATCTGCTTGAAACCCACTAATTAAAAATATTTTTTTAAAACTAAAATGAACCAGAATTGAATGAAAATTACTAAAAATACAATGTGCAAAATTTAGAGAAAAAAATGAATGTGAAAAAAAGAATAATTGAAAAGAATCTGATGGCTTGATAAAGAAGGAGGAGAAGAAGAAACATCTTAGATGGAGAGAATTAATTTATTTTGTACCTCTCTCTGGAGCGCCCTCACCAGGAAAAAAATACTTGACGTCAGCACGCTGAGGAACACCGAACTGAAACGATGTCTCGGCGTGCTCGATCTTACTGCACTAGGTCTGTCTGTCTGTCTGCTTGTCTGTCTGTCTGCTTGTCTGTCTGTCAGATTTTTTTTTAAATCGGTTAATAATTAATCAAATGATAAATAAAATAATAGTACACATTTTTAAATAATAAATTATTTGTTTTTGTTATTTTTCTTCATACAACACTTTTGCTTGTCATAAAGTTGTTGTTGTTTTGTATTAACTAAGTGATCGTTCGAGATTCTGGTCTCATTTTATTTAGCAACTAATGGCCAACTAGGAACCTTGATAGTTCTTCGTGTTTAAAAAATGTATCGACTAACGATAGATTTGCATAGAAACCATTAATTTACCTGCATGCAATTTATCCCGTAAAAATCATTTCAATATAAAAAGTTGCCTCAGACTAACATAATGACAACAATAACAACGAGACATCTCAAACAATGCAAGAATTTTACTTTTTTATAGCTATGAATATCGCAAGAAGAAGGAATATGGCTGTTACATTTTTCAGCCGCCGAGTTTCCTTCCATTCAACTATATATTCTTCATTCGAATTAATTTTTCTAGAGCGTTCTTTTTGAAATTTTTGAAAACGATATTGCTTGAAGGCCTTGAATTGATAAATTACTTCAATAGAAACGTACGTATAAAACGTAATGAACAGCACAATAAAACATACAGCTAGCAGAAGAACAAATGGCAAACAGTAAGTAGACTGCTGAATAATGGAATCAGTCGCTTATTAGGACCAAATCTCAAAAAACAAAACCAATTTCTTTTAGGCAAACCTAACTCAGTTTGCTTAATATGACCGCAGTTATTGCGGCTACAACAAAATATTGCCTGCCGAGAAGCTGATTTCATTAATTGCATTTGAATTTAAATTCTCTTCATATCTAAAAAAGTTCTAGAGCCGAAAAAGTTTTAACATTTTCATCAAGCTCATTCAAATAGAAAAATTGAAAAAAGAAATAAACATCAATAATTTTAAATTTAAAAAATCTCTTCTTTTAGGCACATTAAGAGTGAAACATTCTTTAAACGTTACTTTTAGGTGCATGTATGCGTGTTGTGTGTACGTGTGTATTTTTACTGTGCAATTGTACATACATAGTTACCAATGCTGAGTTACAATGATGGTTTTTATTTACATCTGAAAAGTAGTTCTAGTTGAGCAAAATAACTTAACGAATTATTTTTATACTATATTTTCAACCAAATTGTATCACGATCGATAAGTATATGCGCATAAAATTTTTAGTTTGAAATAATAGTCATGACTTTGAATCAAATCGGTTAAAAATACCAGTCTCTTAAACTGACGAGTTTGTTGTTTTCCAGATGTGGTCCGATTAACCGGTTTCACTGTGTAGCAACGCATTTTACTACACTGCCAATTCTTAACGCTTTTCCATAAGTTTATAATTATTTGCGCTCAACTTATTTTCAGCTCATATATTTAAGCACATTTGTTGGCATTATTTGATTTTAATAGCTTATTTATTCTAATATAAATCCATACATTACCTTCAATGTTATAAATGGTGTGTTTATATGTACGTGTGTGTGTACGTGTGTTTTTGTATGTGATTGCGAACATGAAATAAGAAGTGTACGCGTAAAATCTGTTTAAACGTATGTGCGCATGGCTTCGTTTATAGAATTGTGCTGCAATAAAAAGCGAGCAATGAGATTGCATATTTAAGAAGATATGAGATTTCTTACTGCATAAATTATTGCTTGAAATGGAGCAAAGACTGATGAATGACGTTGCGTCAAATTACATTTCGCCAGCTCGACGTTACTGCCTGCATGTATCGCATTAAGTTTCATCATCTTTCTGGTCGTATTAATTTTTTCCTCGTACGAAAATGTTGTATTCAGTAATAAATAATAACTTGTAACAGGTAAGCAATTAATATTAATTTGACCACCGCAGGCGTCGGGAGCACGTTAGGCGCGGGTGTGTACCTCCTGATTGGCACTGTGGCGAAAACGTTGGCGGGCCCTGCTGTCGTTGTGTCTTTTCTCGTCGCGGCTGTTGCTTCGTTTCTTGCAGGTCACAATTTCATAACTAATTCAATAACTATTTTTTCTCAATAAATAAATGATCAATAAAATTTTAATTAACATTTTAAAAGACGTAATTAATAATTTTGCTTTCTAGAAAATAAGACTAGCTTGCGCGAACACTTTTATTTGCCAACTCATCTATGCATCTTACCAAATATCCACTCAGGCATCTGCTATGCAGAGTTCTCCGCTAGAGTTCCAAAAGCAGGCTCTGCATACATATATAGCTACGTTAGTGTTGGCGAGTTCTGGGCATTTGTGATTGGCTGGAACATGATACTTGAAAACATCATCGGTGCTGCCGCCAGTGGAAAAGCCTGGAGTCAATTTGTTGATTCCATCTTCAACGACACCATCAGAATGTAATCAATTTCATTTTTTTTAATTTAGATTCACTTTGTTCATTTTGTTAAAATCCTTGTGCGTTTAATTTTTGTATAAAAAATGAAAAAGGACGCTAGAGGAGAAGGTTGGCATCAGAGAAGGGACTGGATGGTTTGACTCCTACCCTGACGTTCTTGCACTTGGGTTCATCATTGTTGTAACTATACTATCATGCATAGGTGTCAAGGTACGCTTCAAATTAACTGATGCAGATAAAAGAGTTTTATTAATCATTTTTCATCAATGAATTACTGAATAATCAGATTATTCGAATAAAAAATTTATAAGACTAAATTTTTGACACATTTATTGCTCGAATGTTGCTGATGAATGTAATGCGTTTAACGAAGAGATCTTCAATATAGAATCAAATTGCATTAACAGATCTCACTGAGAATCAACATGATCTTCACGGTAATCAATTTAGTTGTAATATGTTGCATCGTAAGTGTCGGTCTCGTCTATGCAAGGTTCGAAAATTGGACTAATTCCCCGGGCGGATTTTTTCCATTTGGCTTTCGAGGTGTAAGTAAAAGTTTTATATCATTCTTTTATGGCTCCTTTTGTTCTATGTTGTTTGTTTCTTGTTGTCTTGTTATTTCTTTTGTTTTCGTTGTACGTTTTTTCTTTAGCAGAAAGTAACTAGTTTTTTTTAAATATAAAATAACTGTTTTTCTTTATGAGCTTTATCGCTCAGCCAATGAAAATTGTTAATTATTCAATGGTTTATTTCTTTTTTTTATTACTTTTCCTAATTAAATGCTACGTGCGTGGCGTGCTTACTTTCAATAACATTTGGCGTTGAAAAACTTTATTGCACATGAAAAATAATTAATTATATTTTTTATATCTTCATTTATTATTTTTAAATTATTATTTATTTTTTAAAGATAAGAACAAATGAAAATAAAAACTTAACAGACGATGGCGGGCGCGGCGACGTGCTTTTATTCGTTCGTCGGTTTCGACACAATAGCAACATCGGGTGAGGAATCGACCAACCCAACAAGACACGTCCCCATAGCAATCATCATCACGTTAAGTTTATGCTTATTAGCTTATCTGAGCGTCAGTTCAGTTCTTACACTCCTGGTCCCGTGGAACACACTGGCCATGACAGCAGCACTGCCTAAAGCTTTCGCGCAGAGGGGTATAGTAGGGGCTGAAATTGCCATTGGAATTGGAGGCGTTTGCGGTTTAACAGCTGCCACCCTAGCAGTTTTGTACCCACTTCCGCGTAGCATTTATTCAATGGCACAAGATGGTTTAATGTTTCACTGGCTTGGCAAAATCTGGAAAAAAACCGACATTCCTGTTGTGGCTATGTGCATATCTGGTGTATTAGTTGCAGTGTCAGCATTGTTGTTAGACCTGGATAGCCTCATAGAAATGATGTCGCTAGGAACGCTGATGGCCTACACGATGGTGGCTATCAGTGTTCTCATTCTCAGATACCAGAAAGAAACTGTTGGACTCCACGCCAATAACTCAACCGATCACTTTCCTGATAACGTTTTAAATAATGAAAGAACTACAGAAAGTTTAAACGCAGAAAATTCAAGCAGGCCTGCATCTGTAACAACAATTTTATCCACTAATGCAAGTTCGACCAGCAAGCAAGCCAGACTATCGAGCAACGAATCGGAAAAAGCATCATTAGGAGAAGATACTGGACTGTTGAAAGTTGCAGAACCTGGCAGTAAGGTAGTGTCATCAAAAATTCTTGCTTATAATATTTTTTTTACAAAAAAATATTTTTAACAGGTACGATATGTGCCGACAAAAACAACGACAATAGTGAAAAAAATCAAACCACGTTTTGAAGCCGATGATAGTGAAGCTGAAGAAGATGCTTTCCAATCGAAAACGCCTACCACAAGCAACAACGCGACAACTACTGAAGCGGCTTCTGAAGCTTCCGTCGTCGAAGAGTATAGAGCGAAAGTGCGTCAAGAACAAGAGGAGCAGCGTTTGAAACAAGAAATGCGCGAAGAAAGCTCCAAACACATTTCCCAACCTTTATCAATAAAATTAACGAGAGGTAAATATGAACCAATGGATAGCAGCATGACCAGCTTATCAACCAACATCTCTCCTGAAGAGCCAACATTTAAGTAAAGACTTTGTCTGTCTTTTATTCCATTTTATTTTTTCCAATTTTATCACTTACAACATTTGAGTTATTTAAATTTTTTTTATTGGTTCATTCTAGGTAATATTCTATATTAAAATATAGTTGGGAAATAATGAAGTATAAACTAAAATGACAGATCTCGCAGACACGTGATAGGAAGTACAATCTTGATAATTTGTATCTGGGTTGTGGTGTGTTTGCTGTCCGTTCATGGATCACATCTATTTTTTGTTGCCGGCAACAGTTCAGATGTATCTCAAACAAACACGCCAACAGACAGCCAACCGTACTTCCTAGGTAAACAACCGACGCTTTCTACAAATGAAAATAATACAACCAGTAGCAACTTTTTTTCAGCTGGTGTAAACAATCAACAAATTTTATACACATCGAACAACATCGGCAAAACGCTACAACCCGTTTGGTATATGTTTGTCCTGATGGCGATTTTATTTATCCTGATAGTTTTATTATCATTACACATCAAACGACAACCAAGGAACCAGACACCATTAAATTTTAGCACCCCTTTGGTACCTTTCCTACCGATAACATCCGTCTTGGTTAACATCTACCTAATGTTCACTCTCTCCGATACTACTTGGATTCGCTTCATAGTGTGGCTTGTTTTAGGTAGATGCTTTAAAAATTTTCGTTATAAAAACGCGTCGTTATCTGAATATCAAACTCAATAAATACCAAACATCTTTAACGTTGAATATTTAACCTTTTGCCTGTCAGCTTGTAGTTTTCACAAAATATTTAAAATTAATATTTGTGGATAATAACTAATCTTCTAAAGAAAATTTTTTTGATAAAACTTTTATAATGATTTTACTCTACCTATAATGTACATTGCCTACATCTCGCCAGGCTTCATAATATACTTCGGCTACGGTGTGTGGCACAGTTCTGAGAGGAGAAGTGAAGACCAGCAGGTCATTCTGTCCAGTGTTGCAGAGCAGGACAACGTCTCACCGGTCGCATTCAACCAGCGACAGCATCATAACTGAATATTTATTCAATAATGATAATAATAATAAAAATAATTATAATAATTATGAGACATTTTTTATTGGCTGAAAAATTCAAAATAAGATAATAATAATAGTGATAGCAGCAATAGTGATAAAAATATTAACGACAAATTTATATGCTGCTTATTTCGGATCAAGTTATCAAACGCAACGTTTGTAGTTTATTTCCATTCCAGGTAGATGATGTAACGAGCAGCGCAGCTTACAAACAATCACACACACGCGCGCGCGCACGTCGCTTGCTTTGTTTACATGTAAATAAATTGTACACGAATGTGTACAATTTATTTCTAAATGAAGTAGAGCAAAATTTATCTATGGAGCATGGAATAATAAATACGTAAACCTAAATGTACATTAACAGTTTGAAAAAATTTCCACATACTAACCACGCATTTTTAATAACCTTTGCTCTTTATTCACCGACGTGTAATCTATTAGTAATAATATTATTATTATTTAATAAATAAATAATTGTTTTATAAAAAATAATAAATGGATAAAAACCCCAAAGAAATATATTATAATTGCAGCGTTCATTGCATATAATTATGAAATCTTTTTTCTGTGTTGTGCACTTTTTGATCTGGAAGAAAAAATGAATGAATGAATGAATGAACGAACGAACGAATGAATGAATTAATGAATGAATGGATGGATGGATGAATGAACGAACGAACGAACGAACGAATGAATGAATGAATGAATGAATGGAAAGATGAATGACTGAACAGATAATGGATAATGAATAAATTCAGCAATCTATGAAGAAAGGGAACTTATAATTTGTTTTGAAACTATATGTTTTTATTACAATGTTAAAATTGAAAAATATGAACACAAAATAATTCGACTGTACGAACAATTCGTGAAAGATATGTCGTGTATTTTGACGATCTTTGTTATTTCGTTGTCGTCACATCTCACAGCCCCAGTTACGTCAAACTTTTTTGCTAAAACTCAAACTCAGAATTCAAGTTTATATGCTTTTCTAATAAACTTTTGAACCTGCAATTTCAATCCCTGAAACTAAACAATTCTCAGCATAATATAACTATAACAGATAACTTGAAGGTCTTCGAAGGAAAATTCCTTCGCCCCAGCACATGGTAAAAACAAAATGAATAGAAGTGGGCTAATTAAATTTAAAAAAAATTGAGTTAAGAGTTTACGAATTTAGCCAATCTTGTAGGAAATGAAATGTTTAACTTTTTACTGAGTTCGATACGTGTTTGTGTGTTTGTTTGTTTGTTTGTTTGTTTGTTTGTGTGTGTGTGTGTGTGTGTGTTTTGTATAACATAAAATCTGTGAAAATTTTTGTGTAAATGTACAATCAATTTTTTTTTATAATTATGAACACGAATTCCTAAGACAAAAAAATTTAAAATATCTAATAAGTGACATGTCATTTGAAGGTTTTTCAATTTGTACACTGTATACCTTTTAATGCAATGTTTTAAAAGGAAGGTTTTGTTGGGATGGGAAATTAAAACAAGAGATAATTACATTGAAATGATCGTAGGTGTTTAGGACAATTAAAACAATATTGTGTTGGATTTAATCGACGCATCGGCTGATAAGATAGATGAATTTATAATTGTTTATTTACATTTGGATGGGATGATTTTCTCATATTTTTTTTATTATTCTTTAAAATAATATTTTGAATGTTGGAGACTCATCGTGAGAGCAAGAAAACTGGTTACTCACCTTAACCGTCAATCTTCACTAAAACTCAGATATTAATTTTCTATATTAGTTTTTAATTAAATTAAATGTGTTGTAAATTTTAAAAAAATTTGAATTTGTCTTGTCAAGCTATATATTTGTAAGTTGAAATAGAAAGAGCGAACCGTTCACAACTTAACATTGAAAAATTGAAAACACCAATTAACAAAAGAGTTACATTTCTGGTCAATAAGTAAAAAAAAGAATAATATGAATATTAAAAATATTTGTTTATACAATTTTTAAAATTATCAAATTTTACAGAAAGAAAACCTACTGGCAGTCAGACAGAATGTATTTAAAAGGTACTCGCAGATTCGTTAACTTACAATATGTGCAGTGGATGCAATTCATGCAATACATAGAAAAGACATTGGTTATAAATAAGCTCTACACATCATGATTGTTGCATGCGAGCTTTTATTTGGTCCTAAAAGTTCACGAAATAAAAATATCTTTTAGCTTCATTTATTATTTGTACCGGGTGCAAATAGCTGATGAATAAATGTTATCGCTATCATGTCCGAATTGAATCTATATTATTATGGTATCACGATATTTTTTGGTTAGTTTTTGAATGTGTTTCATTTTTATTATCATGAAAACAAATTTAATTCAGTAAACACTAACGAAAGACTAGATTTATTTTTAAAAATTGCTCTTACAAACTCACACGAAGTCAACAAACAGTTCAGTTTTAAATAATGAAGCAGGCGTCCTTTTGAGAGGAGGTTCCGGTAGTGGATGCCAGGAGAAGATGGATTGTTCCAGCTGTCTATCGACATCTTTGCATTGTTCCTGGTGCTCACATGTGGGTTCTGTTTGGTTGTTTTTTATTTTATTCATTCTTGCGTACTCAGAGATTATTTTTTTGCCTCTACAAATTATACTGACATGCATCAAAACGATTTTTAAATGTTTTAAAAAAATTTGATTTACGACATTCATTACTAACCAACTATATGTTAGTTTTTTTATAACTTATAACGATAAACTTTAGTTGAATATTTGCATGAAGCTGCTTTGCATTACCGGTAAATGTAAATTTGCATTAATCATCTTTAAACATTTACATAGTCATACGAACCTATACGCAGTATTTACTTATGTATTTAGTAATTATCAGTATTTATTTACAATAAGGTGAACTGGACAGGTAGCAGATGTGATGAGTGGGAGGAAACTACGAAGAGGTGTCCGGCGAATGATGTTGTCTCAATCGAAGCAAACACAACCATTCTCTTGGTTACGTTGCATATTTCACACAATCATTTTTTTTACATAATTCGCTATTTATACAAAGTTATTAGTTTAACTTTAGTTACATTATTTTATCTAACATATGTTCTATTGTGTTTGTTAATAAATAAAAAAATCAAATTACTGTTGCCTACAACATTAAATGTCTGAAAATTTTAACTTTATTTATCAAACTTGTTACTAAACTTGACCAGACGCAACTAAACAATGCCGACTTATAAGAAATTTTGTTAAAATTTTAAAATTGTCGTTAACATAGACTAAATAAAGATATTCAATGAAAGCAATTTGATAATCATTTTACTGGAGGCAGAATCTGGAGGCAGAATCAACGGACGAGAGAGTTGTGCAGCTGAGACCACAGCATGTCTCAGTTAAAACAAGGATCAGTATGTCGTTTTGCATGTAGAATTAAAATAATGTTTTTACTCAATACTTTTACTTTTACTTTTTGTATCATCATTTTGTCATTTTCTTATTCGACAACAATCGCTATCACTTATAATATTTATCATTATTCTAATTAAGACAAATTTGAATACCATTTTAATACGACATCTACAAGTATTGTTTGTGTTATTTAGGATTCAAACATAGTGAGAACATATTTTATTTATTGTTTCAAGGCGTTTAGAATTATTCAAAAAATTTTTTTTTTAAATTTAGGATAATTATTGACACTGCTATTGTTGTGATCATTCTCAATTTATTTTCAACTTTATCGGCTCAAAATTTGAATTATCATCGTCATCATCATTGTCGTCAGTTTCATCGTCATCGTCTTCGTCCTCGTCACCATCATCGTTGCCCGCATCTTACATAGGACTGCAAATTAAATTACAAGCTGATTAGAATTTGTTTATCGTTTACTGATTCTAAGTTCTTAGCAATTAGAGTTTCGATTAACATATACACGAGGTTGATCTGATCGCTTGATTGCATTAATTTATATCTGGATGAATTATTATAATGATTATTAACTTCGTCGTTACTCTCTAAATATCTTCTCTTACTCGTTGCTCTAATCCGTTCACATCTTTATCATAATGTTGTTAATAATATTAATATTAATGATTAATATTAATAATTTTATTACGGTTCTATTTTTGTTCTGTGACATTCAAACTTCCTTTCGTCGTCGTCTTTTAACCACCATCATTATTTATGCATGATGTCATCATTTTCACCATCCTCCTAATCACCATCACCACCATCTTCATCATCACCATCCTCATCACCACCATCCTCATCATCATCTTCACCATCTTCACAGACGAGATCACCCATTTGGAAGTTGAGTTTGAGTCTGCACGCAACCACCCACTGGAGATCTACTTTCTCGTCGATGCAACCAGCACCATGCAGCCTCTCAGGGAGCACATCCTGCAAGTCATTGACGAGCTAGGTTGGAACATCTTGCAGGGCAGGCCCGACAAATGCCAATCAGCTTAAAATTCTAATTTAAAATGCGTGAATATTAAACTTATACCAACTGCCATTGCGTGTTTAGTTTTTGTCATTATTTTTTTCAATTTTCAATATTTGAAGTTAATAAGAGTCTGTCCGCATTTATTTTGCACCAGTACTTAGTTATTTTTATCGAAGATTTTAGAGTTATGTTGCGTAGTTTAATCAAAAAGAAATGCATTTCTCCATCCAACTGTCTGTTAACTTTTACTTTTTTTATTTTTAATAATAATTTCAAACGTATCAGCGCACTAACAAGTTACGAATCATCACTCCGCAGAAAATAGAAATTATCAACAATCAATCAATCAATCAATCAATCATTAAATTTTTATGTAACTTTTATACTAAATTTTATTGAATTGATTAACAACGTGAAATTTTTAAACTAATCAATCAGTAAGCAACTTGAAGAAAATAACTCTGAAAGTCAAAATTGGTCTTGGACTGTTTGCTGAAAAAAGAATCATTCCATTTGCGGAGTAAGTTGTAATAGGCCGACAGACTGTCAGACGTCAGACAGACAAACGGACAGACAGAAAAGATAGACAGACAAACAAGACTAGACAGACAGACACATGCACATATTTAGATACAAACACGTACACACACACATATACACACTCTTACATAGACAGCCATTATGTATATACAATATACATATATATGTAAACCTAAATGAATGCGCAAATATATATTATTGCGGTTGATTTTTGTCTATGTTAATGGGGATTTGTGTTCTTTCAAACTCTTGGCCACCTCATAAAAAATAAACAATGACTCAAAAATCAATGAAAAGAAAAATTAATATTTAATATTTTATCAAAAAAAAAATGTTGTACAATGTACACACAAAAAATTGTTACAACATTCAATAGGAGTTCATCTGAAGAATATTTCGTAGATGCAATCAGTTAATTTTTTCTTACTTAATTGATTCAAATATTTTTTTTTCATCATTTTAGATACTCAAATAACACCGAAACAAGTTACAACTTCAAGAACCAAGTCAACTTGACGACGGATTTTGATCTTTTCAAAGTGTGCTTACTGCAGTTATAATTATTTCACATTAAGTTAAATTAAAATAAATTTTAATATAGAAAAAAGTGAAGGAATTTGAAAAAATCAGAAATAATGATGCCCCGGAAGACTGGCTTAGTGCTTTTGTTCAAATCGTCACGTGCAAAGTTCGTCACAGGATTTAATAACGATTTATTTCGAATCAAAAATTGTTCTTCCTTTCATTTCTTCAAATTTTGAAACCACAAATTTATAAAAATTAAATTATGATAGACTGATAGATAAATAAACAACGCTTTTTTTGATACACTTACAAAACATTTTTATCAAATATTATCTGAAACAATACACGTATGTTTTTGCAAGCAGTATACTTTGTCAATTTAATGTACGAATGAACCTAATGACGATGTGATTTCTGATTGAGAAGGAAATTATTGGTTGGAGTGACCCAGCCAGGAAACTCGTCATCCTCTTTACCGACGAAGCGTTTCACCATGCCGGGGATGGGAAGGTTCTTTTGTTTTGTGTTATTATGTTTTATTTTGTGAAGTCGATCTGTCAGTAGTATCCGTTGTTGGGTTGTTGCTGTTGCTGCTGTTGTTGTTGCGTTGTTGTTGTTGGTGCTTGCTGCAGCTGAAGTAGTTGATGTTTTGTTTTGGGGGTCGATTTTGTTGTTGATATTGCTTCAAAAATGGGAAATTGAAATTTTTATCGTGATTGAAAAGAATGTCATGTTTGTAATAATTTTTATTTCCATGACTCCTGATTTAAATTTTGAACTTTAGTCACAAAATGTTAACAAAACCTTTTGCAAAGTGGTTTACATTTCAAAAAAATTTGTTAAAAATCAAATTCATTTTGCTTCATGAAATAACTTGAAAATAAATTTGAACTTTTAAGCTTGCTGGCATAGTTGAAGTAAATGATTTGAGCTGTCACTTGGACGCCAATGGTTACTACACACACGATAAGATACAAGTTTGCTAACATTCTATATCTGTGAAGATAGACTTCTATATCTATGAAATAGAAATGAAATAGAATATCTATGAAATCATTTTTTAAAAATTACAGTTTGAGTGAAATCTTTTTCCATAAATTAACTTTCTGTTATAACTTTGCTTATTTTAAAGCACATTTTGAGTAGTTCACTAATGATATTCACTCAGGATTATCCGTCGGTAAGCCAAGTAAAGTATTTGGTTGAACTAAAAAAAATACATTTGTTCATGTTCATAAACGACTGGAAGGATAGAATTGTTAACATATATAAAGAATTGAAAGAAATCCTTCCATACTCGCTATTCTTTCCATTCAAAGAAAATTTTAATGAGAGTGATCCATTTAAATTCATATCTGATAATTACAAGGCACGTTAATAATAATAATTATAATAATTCGTTGCTAGTTATCTCAAGCTTAAATTTTCTGTTTAAGTTTTTAAAAATTTTCATGAAAAAAGAACCCTGAAATAAATTTGATGTACTTATATCAAATCAAAAATCTTTCAGAGCATACAAAAAAAGGTAGAGTTTGTGTCTAATGATGTACCGAGGGATGATTTACACTGGGTCATCGAGAGTCAATGTCCGAATGAGTGAGTTGTTAATTTTTTTCTAAATTTTATTTAATTATTTATCACTGTAAATACAGAAAATGTTTTTCAAAAAATGTATAACAATAAGAAACTGTTACAAAAACTCCATTATTAAAATTCAGAGCAGAATTCACCTCCAAGAGTTATTGTCCAGAAGTCCATCCAGATGATAAAGTGCGTTGACCATTCTCATTTTTAAATCTCGTTTCAAAGTTTTTTTAAATCGATTATTTCCATATTTATAAAAAATGAATTGCTAATTGCAAAATATTTTAGATATTTTAACAATTTTAACTTTAGGCCAAGTTTAAATTTCAAATTTCAACATCTTCTTGCGACAAGAGAACAATTTTGTTTGACCTTCCTGACCACAACGAGAAGATTCAAGTCGACATTGAAGGAATCTGCCAATGTTCCTGTGAGAGTGTTCGTGCTTTTAATTACAATTTATTATTATGGATTTTTTCCAGATTTAAATAAACAAATTTGTATGAAGCATTTTCCACGCCTAACAGTTTCGAAAAAGTTCCATTTGTAACATGCACGGAGACGCAGAGTGTGGCTCGTGTCAGTGTCATGAAGGCTACTACGGAGACAAGTGCCAGTGCTTCACTGAACGTCCGGATCAAAAAGAGTTTCCTTGCATAAAGTGAACCAACATTTTTTAGAAAACCCAATAAATTTATAATGCCTATTTCACCAACCCATGATTCCTGATTTACAGGAGTTGTTAAAGTTAATTCAAATTTTAGTTTCAATAAAAATGTTTGTCAACCTTTGTCAGCCCTGCAACTGGTCAGGTGTGTTCGAACAGAGGCACATGTGAGTGTGGAGTGTGTGCGTGCCAACCAGTCAGGGCAAGTGATCCATCTAAACTTTTCACCGGCCCCCAATGCCAGTGTAACGACCATGATTGTGAACAAATACAGGGACGAATGTGCAACGGTGGGCAGCAACAATTTACCACGAACTCATTCCAATGACGATCGACGTTGTAAAATAAATTTGGTTTATTATTCAGACAAAGGGACATGCCATTGTGGTAAGTGCCAGTGCCAGCCAGGCTTCAGTGGGTCAGCTTGCGACTGCCCTACCAGCAACAAGACATGTTTGGCCTCCAACGGAGTAAGTCAAAATGCTTTCAAACAACAACCGCATAAATATTATCCGTTACGTCATAAAATTGTTGAAAGGATCTGTGCAACGGAGTGGGTGAGTGCAACTGCGGCGTGTGTCAATGTGCAAAAGATCGCCCGTTCATAGGAGACACCTGTGAAGAATGTCCGGTGAGTCTAATTGTTTCATCAACCACGTCGGGGTGACTGAATTTTTTCATGAAAATTATTTTTGCTGATTTCATCATCAGACATGCAGTGACGACGTTTGCCAGGAACATGAATTTTGTGCCTCTTGCTTCTTCGAACCAGATGATCACATCTGTCACTCCGAATGCTCAACCAATATTCATCCGGTGAATCAACTTCCAGGTTTAAATATTTATTTAACAGAGTGTTAATGAATTTGACTATGACGCCAACCATTTTTTAAATTATTATTACTTCAGAAATGTCAGCGAATCAGATATATTGTGAATCTCATACGGCCAAGTGTACGACGAAGTTCATGTACGATCTGAGGAGTTCTTCAATCATATTGCAGTCAACAAGGAGTAACAACAACTTTGTTAAATTTTAATATCGTTAATCATAATGATGAACGTGTTTTAAATTTTGTCCAGAATGTGTATCAGAGTTGATGATTATTGGATCGGTTGTCGGTGGAGTAGCAATGATCGGAGTCATCATGTTGGTCGTCTGGAAGGTCGTCGTCACCGTTCACGACAACAAGGAGTACAAAAAATTCGAGATGGAAAGGAAAAATGCCAAATGGGCCTTGGTAATTTTTTCAAATTTTAGGGATTGAATTTTTGTTTTTACGACGCATTTTTTCTATGTTTATTGTTTAGGTTCCAGTTCATTTTTTAAGATTATAAATATTTCCTAATAATCACTAGTCACAATTTGTTACTGCTTGCAAAATATAGATCAAGTTGTAGATTCCAAATCAAATTAATTTTTTCATTTTGTTTAAACAGTGTTTTCACCAAAAATAAGCAAAAATGTTGCAATCTCGATGTCTATCATTTTTTCACGATTTTAAATCTTACGTTTTTCAGTCAAGCTTGCTTGCATGCTTCAGTGACAAGTGATTTGAACATTATGTTAATGCATTAATGAAATAGAAATGACTACGTTTACTATTATTATTATTATAATTATTATTATTATTATTATTATAGAAATTGCTGTTTATGTTTCTTTCAGAATGTCAGCCCCTTATATCGAGATGCAGTATCTAGATATAGAAATCCCATATACGGTTTGAATAAGGACTAGTTCCAGTGCTAGTCCATTCATTTCTCTGCCGATAACAATCTGCTTCAGAATTAGAAACACTTGAACATAATTTTCAGTTTTACTTCTCTCTTTGTAACAATAAAATTGTTTACAACATTTTATTTCAATGCTTGATAGGGGTCACTTAATTATAAATTTATATCAACATTCAATCAACTTTCAACAAAATATTTTTATGCGATCATGAACAATCAATTTTTATTTTCTCAAATATTGATTTCAATTTTTTGGATTTTATTTTCATCATTTTCAATTTTTTATATATTTCTTAACGTCTCAACTCAACATCACCTTTTGTTCCAATGCTGAATTCGTTGAAATAATTTCCAGCCTTTCATATCCCTCAAAAATATGATATCATTTTTTATTTTAATTCAATTCGCTTATTTTTTTAATTAAAATTACTAAAGATTCACCATTTTTTTTTAAATTAATTTTTCTTTATTGAAAACAATAGATTGGTGCAAAAAGTTTGAGAAATAAATATTACTGTATACGTGTTTTAAGTGATATAAAAGTTTCGATATAAAATAACTCTTATTCTCGTTGTGAGCTTCTAATGTGGCTCTTTTAAAATGCGAGGCTACATTTTTTCAAAGATTTCATCTAAAATAATATTTAACCTAATTTTCAAAAAATCATCATAAAAAGTTGGCCCGAACAATTACGCTTTTCTGGTGGGTTGGTGAGACAAATTAGAATAAAAACTTAATCACTTATGCTTCTTCTGTTCTGTAATTTGCCGCCGTGTAATTGCGCGTAATGTAAGTTAAAGGTTGTTAGAACTCAACAGCCAGCCCAACAATCGCACAATGAGATGTTATTCATTCATAATGTTAATATCCGCCAGCAATTAGGGTATATACCAAAATCATAATTGTACCAAATATGTTGTACCCTATTTCGTTTTTACCTCTTGTTGTCAAAACCAGTTTTTTAATTTGTTTTTGATGATTATTTTACTTTTTCGGGATAATTAATTAATTAATTGAATGGGACAATGTTTTTTTTGCAATAGTTTACAATTTTCAATCATAAAATTGATTTCTACATAAAAACTCAAATTTCTATTTTATAACGAAAAGAAATTTCAAAAACTGTAAATGTAAAAATGAAATTTTTTAAATGCGTCTTTAAATATTTCCTCGTCACAAAGTGCAAAATAAACGAAGCCAAACTCTACGGTGGATATGGTGAAGCGTTTATGAGATTGGAGAATTAGCGACGTAATTTGCACACATCCTGAAACAATCGCTATCAGGACTATGAGTAACTAATTATCTCTAGTGGATACTTTTAGAGTTAATCGTTCTCCTAAATTCCAGGAAAAATGTACGATAATAAGTAGATAGTCATTTCACGTATGACGTGTTAATCTCTTGATATAGGATCGAGGATTCGCCATTAGTAATGAAATTTGAATTCCGTTCAATGTTTAAAATTGAACGTTAATGATGTTGGATGGCTTCCTTCTGGGTCTTCCCAGCTCTCTACTTAGTTCAAACTCGCACAACGTTCATCACATCTCAGACAAACATTTTTCCATTAATGATTTACGGGGAAAAAGTATATCTTTTTATTGTATATAAATATATATTATTTCTAAAATTTATAAAACTATATTAAATAAAAATAAACTTGAAAACAAATTAAAACAATAAATTCGTGTTTTAAATTAATTGTCATCGGTATATTCTATATTTGTCTATGGGTTATTCTATAGAATTTTATGCTATTAATATTTTTTAATTTGTATCTATCTACGATTGAACGAGTTTGGTGATTCACAGAATTTGATTCATAATTAGTAAAATCTCTATAGTTTAATAATGATGACAACGATAACGCAGAGTGACTCGTTACCTACATCTAAAAACATTTATCACGGCGATTTTTACTATTGTTTGTTCGGTAACGTATGTAAGATGTAAATAATATTTAAGAAGACTGCCGATATGGCAAATATTTCATCAGATCTACCACATTATTATTGCTGCTATTATTGTCATTGTTCCTATTAATGTTGTCGTTATTCTTATTATTGTTATTAATCTTATTGTCAATGAAAAATTATCTTGGATTCAAATAAACATCAAAGAAAATGCAATAGTAATTTGCATTATTGAATCTTTCGAAGATATTTTCAAACTAGTGACAGGTTAATAGCGTAAAATATTTAATAACAGCAACTAGCAAGCATTCAATTATAAATCGACAGGATAATTAGCGTCATCATTTGGACTAATTATGATAAAAGTTACTATCTGCATAATTACCAGAACACCGCGTTCTTGGGCTTTTCAATGTTGCTACAGTACTACAGTACAGTGGAGAAGTGCACTAATTTGCACACCTTCAGTAAAAACAAACTCATGCGTTGTACACACATTGTGTCTGTTTCTCTGTCTCTCTCTTTCTCTCTCTCTCTTTCTATATATATATATATATATATATATATATATATGTGTGTGTGTGTGTGTGTGTGTGTGTAAATATATATATATGTATATATATATATATAATATATTTGTATATATAATATAATTATATATATATATATGGTATATATGGTATATATAATAATATTGCTTATACTGGTGTCTATTTTTTAAAATTTAAATTCGCCGAACATGAGTAAAAATCATGAGAAGTTTTTTATTTGTAACATTGTGGATATTCGTTTTCATCAGTTGGTTGAATTCTTTTTTTGGAGTAATATTTTATTTTTTTTAATTGTGGACAAAATTAAACCGTGTCTTGGTTATGAAATTCAGCAATTTTTTTTCATTCAATATTAATAACAGATTTCAAATGTTCTTTAATTAATAAATTCCATTATAAAGTTATAAAGTGTGGTTGTGCAGTGCGTAACATCAATATAATTGCAATATTTCAATTTTGACTATGTGTTGTAACATTATAAATGTCATTTTAATCAGGGTTGACGACCTGGGCAAACAACAACAACAACAACGACGACGATAACGACGACAACAACAACAACATATGCAATCGGCAACAAAACTGTTCAAGTTGTATGACGGCGGCACCGCAATGTGCCTGGTGCTTGGATGTTAGGACTGTTGTCTCGTTGTGCCATTGTTGTAGTGGCTCTGTTGTTGTTTTTGCGTTAAATGTTGTTGTTGTTGTGGCTGGATGGTGTTGATCATCTGTCTAGGTGTTTTGTTATATTTTAATAATTTATATAATTTTAATGCCAGCCATAACCTCGTCATTGTCTTCATTGTTTATGATTCTTCGTTGCACAACAATATGAATTAATTTTATATAATTAAGTATATAAACGTCGCATGGTGCTTTAGTACTAATAAAATTTGGCTTTGAATTGAAAGAAGGGTGGTAGAGGTTTCCTACACGAACCATCACGCAGATCAATTTTGAGGGGACCCGTTGTGATCTTGGCCCACAACTGATAAAGTTGAAATGTTCCTTCAATAATATTGTGTTTTACAGATCAGGCTTAACAGTTGAACGAGTACGTAAACGCTTATTAACCTTTGCTTTTAAAATTTTACTCGAATGTTTAGAGATGGCATCTTACAATTTAACTGAGTTTTTTAATTGATGATAAGTTTGGGATCTAATTGTGCAATTAAAAATGGTGGCTGTGAAATTAGTTTTGCATGAATTGCTTTTTCAAATTAAAATAGAATATTTCAATCATAACTTTATCTATTCATCTAGAATTAGTGTATATAAATTATCGTCATACGTGATAATTCATTTTAAATGCATAAAAATGTAAAAAGCCAAACTCATTTTCAAACTCTAAACTCAAATAAGAACTTACCTCCTATGTTGTAATTACTTAATTATTACTTTCTAGCCAATACTTATCTGAATAAACAATAGAAACAAAATTACCCACACATCAATATAAAATAAACACGAAAATCAACTCCTGATGTAGTAGTTTTTTTTTACAACTGTAGAACGTTCCATCAGGCACGCATGTTGACCAAACAATGCAGCTATCACCTCAACATTTCACCATCAGGGCCAGACCGAGTCTGCTTTTTTAACATATTTTCCATTTGATATATTTTCGAAACGTAGCTGTTGTTTGTCTATTTATTATTATTGTTTATCTATTCATTTATTTATTTATATTCATTCATTCATTCATTTATTCATTCATTCATTCATTCATTCATTCATTCATTCATTCATTCATTCATTCATTCTTTCACTCATCCATTCATTCATTCATTCATTCATTCATTCATTCATTCATTCATTCATTCATTCATTCATTCATTCATTCATTCATTCATTCATTCATTCATTCTTTCACTCATTCATTCATTAACTCATTTATTTATTAAACTGTTCAACCATAAAAGATGATAAGATACAGACGCTAATAACATTTACAATGGCCAAAGATTACCCGGTTGAAATCTACTTTCTTATCGATTCATCATTTACCATGGAATCATATAAAGAAGATCTTAGCAAGGCCGTGGATCAACTAGGTGAAGGAATGTTTTTTCTTCCTGATCAATTTCAATGTTTTTGTAATTATAATGGCTTGAACGATTGGAAGAAAAAAAGATTACCATTCGCCGATGATTCAAAAAATTTGAAATTATTAGAAATAATTTTAACTTCAATTATTATAACGCCATTCCTTTTAACCTCAGCAATAATTACGTCGATTATATTATTTTAATCACTTGCTAACCTATCAAATGACACCATCGAGTTATTAACTAACCATTAAACGACTTCCGTTTTCGTGTAATAAGAACGCATTTTTTCATTCTTGTTTATTTAAAGTAGTAATTTTCCTATATTATTTGTATATTTCCATAAAATTTAATTAATTTATATTGGTTTCAAACTTTTAATAGAAATGATATAAAAATTTACAAAAGACTGACAAATTCTTGCTGTTTAAAACGGGATTTTACAACTGACTGTAGGAACTTTTTTAGAATTTAGTTGACATGTACTTACATAGATGTGTCGCTTAGTTTATAGGTAGTTGGTCAAACGGCAGGTCATGCCAGTTTTAATTTGGGTTGGTATTTTAAATTTTTGCGTCTTTTTTTCTTTCAATCAATCCTTTATTGCCCGCTAAATGCATGGTAACGAAAAGTGCTTAGCTGTTTGAGTATTTCTATCTATCGAATATCATCAGAAAATCTTTGCGAATATGCTGGAAAAATATATTTCCTAATTTATCTTACAACAACTCCTTCCTGATTTAGATCTATTCATCTAATACTCTTTGCCTACAAATAAAGTTACCAAAATCCCAACAAATGCATCTCATTATTGTGATCGTATAAAATACTATGTTAATTAGAAATTGAATGTTTCAAAACATTTAACTCGCTATTCATTGCAGTCAGTCGGCTGCACAGCATCTCAAATAACGTCAAGCTGGGTCTGGGAGGTTTTGTTGACAAAAACATCATGCCTTTTTCTAGGCATATTAAATATTATGAGTAAGTTTAGAAATATTTAGATAAATTTTCTATACAGCAACATTTTTATTTCATTGTCATGATAATAATTTATTGACGAGCACGATGTTTGTTCAGGAAGTTTTTGGATCCATACAGCTTTCACAACCAATACAACCTTTCCTCTAATATCTATAAATTTAAGGTTGTTTGTCTTGAACCTTATCAATTTATTTAACTAATTAATGGAATGAATTAAATATAAATGCATCTCAACGTTTAACTTTATTTTTGTAGGATGCCCTAAAAAATTCAAAAACCAGTCAAAATTATGACTCCCCAGAAGGATGGTTCGATGCAATTGCACAAGTTGTACAGTGCAAGGTTAACAGGTTTTTTTCTAAATCTAAAAACATTTGATCTGAATTTTGACAAAGTTAGATTAAATAATCAAATAAATATTATTAAAATGTTTTCATGAAAAATATTGAACTAAGCAATGAATATGTGTTCGTGTTTTACACCTTACATAATTGAGGAACGCCATCATCGTTAAGTTAACGATGTTAATGTAGGGTAGTTATAATGCAAAACCAATCTCCTGATAGAGAAAACGCTACAGAGTTTGCCGTTCTATGCCATTTTCATTTTTAAAAATTTGCAATTTATGAAAATCTTTTTTCAATTTAAATATTATATTATAACTATATTTACATAATTTATTGGTCTAAAATTATTGCAACATACTCATACAAAGGAACACATTGGTTGGAGTGAGAAAGCGAGAAAAATGATAATTGTCTTAACTGATGCTAAGTTCCACACGGCCGGTGATGGAAAGGTTAGTTGGATGTTTTTACGGTCAGTGGCAGATCTAGACAACATTAGCGCCCTCCACAGATCCACCACTGAACCTGACCCTAACTGTGACAACCTCCACAAATGATTTGTTTGTTAACTGGTCTATGGATTTTTTTTCATTGAGTTCATTTATGCCCCAGCACATGAGTAGCACATCTTACAAATCTCCTATGCATAATGGGGTTCGCGAGAAATTTTTTTAGCGTCATCTCAATAAATTTGTGATTACAGTTAATTTCTGACTCTGCGACCACCAACGACATTTAGCCGTAAGAAAAATTTGGCAAGCTTAAATGTATATTCAACAAGAAACAAAACAATCATTACTAATTATATCACATTAACGTCGTTTTAATTTTCTTTTAACAAATATGAACAAAACATTTCTATTAGCTTGCTGGCATAACCGAGCCCAACGATCTGCAGTGCCATTTAAATTCCACAGGCTTTTATACGCAAGATCGTGAACAAGTTAGTAAGACATTTTTAACAAGCAAACTCTATTTGATCGATATAAAGAGTTGTCGTCATAAAATAGCAAGACTACAAAACTATAAAAACTTTGTATTTGACGAAATTTTTAGTTTGAATTTTTTTTGCTTGCACTGAAGAATAAAACTCTTATTACTGTTAGGATTACCCGTCAGTCGGTCAACTTATCCATTTGTTCGAAACAAGTCAAATCCATTTAATGACGTTTGTTAAAGGTTTTCAAGATGAATACAAAAGGTTAACTAAATACTTACCAAACAGTATCGTTGGAAACGCTTTCAGTGACAGCAACAACATGTATCAATTTATCGTTGAAAATTACGAAGTAAGCAAGTTGAAATAAAATGTGTCGGCGTGAACTTCATTCTTTTTTGTTTGTTTTTTGTCAATTCAGAACATTCATAGCTCTGTTAATTTGCAATTTATTCAAAATGACAAAGTGGATATTCAAATGAGAAGCCAATGCAATACAGAGTATGTTCTTGCAAAATTAAATTTTTTTATTCATTTTGTACATAATAAATTATGACGATTTAGTAACAAATGGATAAAAGGTGGGCATTGCAGAAACGTAAAAATTGGACAAAAGGTTATTATAATTCTTTAATTTTCTTCAAATCGTTTTTAACAATTTTTAAAATACATGTTAATAATTAAAGAGCACGGACATAAATGGTTTCTTTGATAAATTTTTTTAATATTTGACTGGCGGAAAAGATTTTTCGTGAAAGATCATGCTTTCATAAGAACAAAATTAGCTGAAAAATCCAATCAGAAGGGCAAACCAGATAGACTTGACAGAAAAAATTACATTTCTGCCAAAATTTTGAACATTATGAACTTCCAAATTAGACTTAGCTTGTAAATTAAAACTAAAAATAGAAAACTGAATCTCTGCTGAATGTAAAATTAAGAAGCTTTTAACGAAAAAAAACACTGGAATAAAAATGAGGGAAAGCAAACGTAAATACGCCTCCATAAAAAAGTTCTTATTATTATTTTTAAGCCTGCAGTCGTCTGTTAGTTTAATGTTATAATGCAAGCTTTTAATGGCACGTGCGTCAATGGATGGCTTAACATTCACCACCACCGTGGTTATGCAATATAAAATTTTTAAGACTGCTTTTATTCCGAAAATTAGTTGTAAACTCTTAAACAATCTTTTCCGAATTAAAATTTTGTAGATATGAATTAGTAGCAAATAAATTTGAAAAAAGGTTTCGTTTGAGTTGACAATATCAACGAACTCGTGTGACCCTCAAACAATTTACATTCACCCGGCTGGCTTGCACGAAAAAGTTAAAATAAACATTCAACCAATTTGCGATTGTCGGTGCCAGATCAACTTGGTTAGTTTCCTTTTACTCAAATATTTATTTGTTAATTATAATTAAAAAAAATTAAATTAAAACATTTATCAAAAAGTTTAAAATCAACAACAGCAAAGAAACCATTCCGTGTGCAACATGCACGGAGACGCTGTTTGTGGCTCGTGTCAGTGCCATGAAGGCTACTACGGAGACAAGTGCCAGTGCTTCACTGAACGTTCTGGTGACAAAGATTTTCCATGCAGGAGGCGAGTCATCATCATTAAAATATCATTCGGTTTATAAAGCCTGTATAAATAAGTCCCTCCTTTATTTTATGTCGCTTGTCAGGTTTTGAATATTTTAAATAATTTTATTTTTCTTCCGAATTTAAAACGTGTTTTTCCCATGCGCAAATTTTTAAAAGAAATTTTTTTCTATTTACCACGTGGATTTGTGGGAACTATGTCATTTGTGCAGCCAAATCTGTACTAAATTTGCATACTCAATTTTTTTCCACATTTTTAACTTGATTTAATTTTTGAATCAATAATAACTTTTTTTTATTTCTGTCAGCCCTACAACTGGTCAGGTGTGTTCGAACAGAGGCACATGTGACTGTGGAGTGTGTGCGTGCCAACCAGTCAGGGCAAGTGATCCATCTAAACTTTTCACCGGCCCCCAATGCCAGTGTAACGACCATGATTGTGAACAAATACAGGGACGAATGTGCAACGGTGGGCAGCAACAATTTACCACGAACTCATTCCAATGACGATCGACGTTGTAAAATAAATTTGGTTTATTATTCAGGCAAAGGGACATGCCATTGTGGTAAGTGCCAGTGCCGGCCAGGCTTCAGTGGGTCAGCTTGCGACTGCCCCACCAGCAACAAGACATGTTTGGCCTCCAACGGAGTAAGTCAAAATGCTTTCAAACAACAACCGCATAAATATTATCCGTTACGTCATAAAATTGTTGAAAGGATCTGTGCAACGGAGTGGGTGAGTGCAACTGCGGCGTGTGTCAATGTGCAAAAGATCGCCCGTTCATAGGAGACACCTGTGAAGAATGTCCGGTGAGTCTAATTGTTTCATCAACCACGTCGGGGTGACTGAATTTTTTCATGAAAATTATTTTTGCTGATTTCATCATCAGACATGCAGTGACGACGTTTGCCAGGAACATGAATTTTGTGCCTCTTGCTTCTTCGAACCAGATGATCACATCTGTCACTCCGAATGCTCAACCAACATTCATCCGGTGAATCAACTTCCAGGTTTAAATATTTCTTTAACAGAGTGTCGAGGCTCTGATTAATTATGTTTGATGACTCACACAGTGTTATTGCTTTATTACATCAGAAATGTCAGCGAATCAAATATTTTGTGAATCTCACACAACCAAGTGTACGACGAAGTTCATCTACGACCTGAGGAGTTCTTCAATTGTACTGCAAACAAAAAAAGGTAAACTGAAAAGCTAAGTTTTTAAGGTTCAACAGCATTCAATGATGATGACCGTGTTTCATATTTTGTTCAGAATGTGTATCAGAGTTGATGATTATTGGATCGGTTGTCGGTGGAGTAGCAATGATCGGAGTCATTATGTTGGTCGTCTGGAAGGTCGTCGTCACCGTTCACGACAACAAGGAGTACAAAAAATTCGAAATGGAAAGAAAAATAGCTAAATGGGCTACGGTAAATTTTTTATTATTGTCATTATTATTTTCTTTATTAATATTATATTATTTATATTGATATTAAAATCCTTCAACAATTTTGAATAAAAAGCATCGAGGTTCCTCGGTTTAATTTAGTTCTGGATTGATAAAAGTTCATTTGAACAGGCCAGAGAGTTTCACAATTTTAAGGATCGTTTTTCATTCAGAAATAATTTTTGAAACAAAATTAATTTTATATAAAAACCTTATAAAAGTATAGATATACTTACTGAAATGTTTTTTTTATAAACAACATTTGGCTTAAGTCGACAACTTCCTATATTTAAATCATACTAAAAAATTTCAATTTGAATTAACTATTAATTAAATAGAAATTTACATCAGTCAGCTATTCTAAATATCATTGTCAGTTTTCTAATTAAATGCGTTATCTCAAGTAGATCCTGATATTTTCACTTATTTGTTTTATAACATTGGTACCGTATTTTGTTACATTAAGATTAAGTTAAGTTAATCTTACCTTTTAAAATCATTCCAGGCATCTAATCCACTGTACAAAAGTGCTGTAACAAAATTTATCAACCCGGCATTCCGTGAATAAATATTACCTCTTCGACTGACGCTACGCAAAAAAACATCTAAAGATTTATAATATAATTTGTAAAACCTTGTTTTTGTATGTTTCGTATTGTTTTCGTGTTCCTATTTCTGATATGGTGAGTGATGAGTGTTTTTTTCAGTCAATTTTTTCGAAATCTACTTCCTACATGAATTTTGACATTTTAAATGATAAACAGCTCCGCAACAAAATGTCTTCAGATTCCTGTTCAAATTATCAACTTTTTCTTATTATGTTAAAAAACCAAGGGGAGGCCTATTTACCAGCATACAACACCTTCTTATGGGTTGAAGCAGGGATATGCAAAGAACCTCAATTTTTTCAACTTTTAATTATTTTCAATAATGTCTCCCCTTGCTCCAAACCACATAACTAGAATAATAGGACTAATCGATCAATTCGATCTATCGGTCGGGCTATTTTTCGTGCTTGGATTGTTGGCTTACGAAATTTCATAGATTTTAACGAGCAAGCTAAATGAAATATTTACTTGATTTAATATGCTAAAAACATAGTAGTAATTCTGTTTAATTTTAATAATGATTAATAGAATTATGTATTATTAAATTATTTTTGTTAATTTGAATATAAAAATTGCTTTTGGTCCGGTGAAATCCGGTGGCTTATTGAAGCCGAAGGTTGGCTTAGTAGGATTGAACTATAGTCACCCTCTTTTTTACACTATTCGATCATGTTAAAAATTGGTTTGCTTATGAAATAAACGGCCTAAATAAATCAAAATTGTTATTTGAACAACTATCTTCATTATATTCAATTAATATTTTACATTCTGCTAATGCTCATAAGAAACTGGCTGCTGAAATCATACGATGGCTTATAGCAGTGGCTTACAGGGTTTCATAGAACACTTACGATAGCATTTTTTTGTACATATAATGCTTTAAATAAATCAATATATTCATATCACAATTATTTTTGTCAGTATAAATATAGAAATAGTTTTTGTCAGGTGAAAAACAGTGGCTTACTGAAGCCGTAGGTTGGCTTAATCGGATTTTTTCTCATGTATACAATACTATGAGATAAATCAAACAATCAGTCAGTCGGTCGGTCGGTCAGCCAGCCAGCCAGCCAGCCAGTCTGTCAGTCAGTCAATCAATCAACCAACCGATCAATCAACCGATCAATCAATCAACTAAATTGAATGAACCAAATAAACAAAAATAAAAACAAAAATAAATACAAAAAATTTGCAAGGCCTGTTCAAACTCGAACAAACAGTTAACCGTACAGATCTACAAACAATTTCGAGATTTTAGTAAAGAAAGAAAAACACAGTAGTTGCTTTTATTTGAATTCATTCAAAAATGAAAAGTGACGGTTAATTAAAATTTTAAAATGTCAATTTTTTTTAAAAATTCGTATTTTAAATAAACAAATATATCAAAATATCGACCGATAAAAATAATTATCTATTATTATTATTATCATACACACTCCTTTGAAGTTCTCGATGGATAATAAACCACGTAACATATCATAATGACTAAATCAACATACTAAACAGAAATAATTTACACATGCATATATACAAAGTAAATCAAGAAATATCCAAAAATTATATAACCAATTTAAAAAAAAACTAGAAACCAGTCAACATTTAATGAATAAATATAATAGGTACAATTTAAGGCGACGACGAGAATGAAATGTAGTTTGTTTTGTTGGTGTGGTGTTGTGAAGCGAAAACAAACACATCACACAAAACTAGTAAGAAGTCGCAAGAATAAGTCAGTCACCTACCTATAATAAAATTACTCTCAGGGCCCTAGCTTACTTATAAACATTGACTCAACTCACTTACCTACAAATTTGTATTTCTCGTTTTAGATGTTTCAAGTGTTTTATTTAACATATTTTAGCGTTTTTATTTTACTTGAAGCTTTTTAACTAATGTTAAGCCCTAGCCTACCTACAATTGTTTAACTCATCTCAGTCCCTAACTTACCTATGAATTAAATTAAAGCCCGGTTCACGCTAAAGAAAGTATAAAGTTGAAGAGAAACATAGCAACAACGACACCGAATGAATGGACGTTGTGTATGTATGTGTTGTATTGATGTGTGTGTACATAAATGTGCGGGCGCGCACTCTCCAGAAACTTCACTCACTACCGACGAACCTCCATTGCACCGACCATCATCTGACACGCATCGATGGAATGAATTTGACCGGATACTGAAAAATAAATTGAAAAAAAAAATTAATTCACTAAAATAAAAAACAAGCAATTGGAAAAAATAGGCAACTTATCTTTTTGAGATAACACTCAATCTTTGTTCAAATTCGAGTACTTTCAAAGGTACAATGAGACAAAAACAAATTTACCTTTAACATTATCTTCGATTTGTCATCGGAACGATCATCATGAGACCACCATCTGAAACGTGCTGACGCCCACCACAGCCCACCTCTCATCATTCTGTAGACATTTTTTAATAGCGTATTAGTAAATCAAGGAACAAAAGAACGATCGAATAAATGATTAACTGAATGATTGAATAATTGGTTGAATGAATGAGTGAATGAATGAATTAATTAATAAATCAATGATTCAATTAATGAATAAAATGAATTAACGAATCAATTAATAGAAGAATAATTTAAAAGGTTGAGTGATAAAATGAACGAATGAGAAAAATAAAAAACGACACTAATTCTTACTTCAAAAATCGTCGTTACTGTACTTTCCATTGCACCGACCACCACCATCTGGTCGGTACACAAAATACCATCCGAACTTCAGAGTGTCAGTCGAACAGCCAACGAGCTGATTCTTTCTACACCACCATCATCATATGTAAATCATCATGAGACCACCATCTAAAACGTGCTGACTCCCACCACTGCCCACCTCTCATCATTCTGTAAACAAAATTTTTTTATTTGCGTAGTAGTAAATGAATGTTAGAATCTTAGAAGCGAAAAAAATTAAATTATAAAATGAAAATAATGTCAAATAAATAAAATTTTAAAATAATAAAGTAAGTAAAATGTAAAAAAACTTACCGTCGTCCATTCGACAAAGGCAGAATGTTGAATGCGGTCCGGTTCCTACGTTGTCCTCCAAAACTGGTGCCTCGAGATTGTTGTTGAAACACAGCCCGTGTTGATGGAGAAAGATAGAGAAAGAGTAGATTCTCATCAGAAAGCTTAACGGTGCCTGCATCTCAAATTGCTTAATAAAAATAATCCTATCTACCTATTCAATTACCTTAACTAATCTATATTAAATTGTTAATGATACAATAGTCGAGAGTCCCCCTTCATTCTTCCTCCTTGCACAGAGGTTCACCGACAGCCAGGGCACCGGATAGAAAACCATTGCCGTGCGGATAGTAGACTATTGCCGTGCGGATAGTAAACCATTTGCCGTCCGGAAGCCGTGCGGGTAGTAGACTATGGCCGTGCCGCATGGTAAATCATTACCGTGCAGATAGTAAACCATTGCCGTTCGGATAGTAAACCATTGCCGGTACACCACTGGCCACCAAGGCTTACCTCTGACAACAGACTTCGAAATTCAGAGTCTATCGGCTATCGTACCCTCAACTTACCTATTCATTACAATTAAGCCCTAGCTTACATAAAATTACAAAAAAACTCAAGAGCCCAATTCATTTGCCAATCGGCACCCACCCCACCACCTACGTAATGCCTTGGGCTCCAACTTAGTAATAATATAAAACTTAAACCCTAAATCTATCAATGAGTGTGTGTTACAACGTAGCCTTAACTTACCTATTCATTACAATATGGCCCTAGCTTACCTAAAATTACAAAACTCAAGAGCCCAATTCATTGGCCTTTCGGCACCCACTCCACCACCTACGTAATGCCTTGGGCTCCAACCTAATAATAATAATGTAAAACTTAATAACTAACTTACCTCTCGATACACTTACAGCGTTTATTTAATTTAAATTACAAGATTATTCCTAGAATTAAATTATTGCTTTTAACTACCTATGAAATTAAATTACTCTCAACCTTAGTAATAATAAATTAGAATGTGTAATGAAAATAAAATACCGCTCAAATACTAATATGTGTTTATGTATGTATTTGTGTGTGTGTGTGTGTGTAATACGCTGATGCGTGTAATGTGAGTGCGAGAAAAAATAGAAGAGATAAACTTACGCTGCCTACCTATTCAACTACATTAGTGTTGGATGCTTCCTATCTATCCTACCTACAATTAAAATTATGCCTATCTAACCTACCTATATAGCTACTTAATGTAATTGTTTGTATGTTCGTGTGCGTGGGAGCATTCTTACTTAATGTTAAATTACAGAGAAAAACAGAAAAAAGAATAAAACGTATCCCACCCAGGCGTATCTTCTTTGCCACTGAATGAACGAACGTAGCCTGACATCTTCCACGATGGAAGCTTCAACCTGAATAAAATGGATGAAATGGAAAAATCTTATTTATTTGACTAATTTAAATGAATAGAAAAACGAGCCGCGGTGAATTCCGCCGGAAAAGCCAGCCAACTGGCAAAAAAATGAACCGCAAAGAAGCCGTAAAACGTACCCCAGCAGGGTGTGCATTCTTTGCCACCGAATGAACGAACGTAGCGTGACATCACAACCATTCTGATCGTCCACGATGAACTCCTCTGGAAGCTTCAACCTGAATAAATAAACCTAAAAAACCTAAATGAATGGAAAAATCTTATTTATTCAATTTAAATGAAAATAACCGCAAAGAAACCGACCGGTCGGCAAAGAAAAGAGAAAAGAAGAGCAAAGAAAGGTATCTACATAGGATTTATGCTCTATATAGGATTTATGCTCTATATAACTCTATATAACCATGCATACTACCACATTCAATCAATAAAAATTCCACTAAAACCAGGAACCACCGCGTACCTGCTGAATGTATGATGTGAAACAAAACAAAAATCACACCACCAAGTAGAGTAAAAGAGTAGGAGTCCCTAACCTACCTAT